ATTGAACATTGGCATAGTCGCATCGCGCGATACAGGCATCTCGCGCGTCTTTTCTTTTAGGTGACGACGACTATAGCTAAGAAGAGTAGAATTTATTTTAATTTCAATCCATAAAGTTATTATTTGTGTCGGGAATATGGATTATGAGAAAACAAAGGAGATTCCTGTAATTGAAGCAGAAAATAATCAATTCTCACCAAAAAAAAAACTACCTTTAGCACTCACAAAAACACTGTGTGAACATTTTGTGAGCTAAACTTCATCTGTAGAGCGATCAAATGAGGCATAAATGACACATGGCCACGCTCACATGTAACATCTTTAATTATTATTAAACATGCGTAGTAAGAGTATCCTGCTGATAGCACATATAACATCCTCGACAAATTGGTAGGGACGTCATTTGTCATGCGGCTTTCACGCGGGACGCATGTTTCATTACCAAGGCAATAACGTTGTCATGAAATATTGCCGTGTACTGACCGTGTATATTCTTTATTATTTTATTTTGTATTAGATCTTCGATCTTTTTATTTTNTTATTAAACATGCGTAGTAAGAGTATCCTGCTGATAGCACATATAACATCCTCGACAAATTGGTAGGGACGTCATTTGTCATGCGGCTTTCACGCGGGACGCATGTTTCATTACCAAGGCAATAACGTTGTCATGAAATATTGCCGTGTACTGACCGTGTATATTCTTTATTATTTTATTTTGTATTAGATCTTCGATCCTTTTATTTTTGATCCCGGGGCGTTTGCATACAGCTGGTAAATTTGACTTGTCGTGTTCTTCTATTTCTAAATAATGCTTTATCAACAAGGAAGACGATAAATTGAGAAATTGAGTTAAAAGGTTTTTAAAGATACGGATAGGTTAGAGCTGATGTATGTTAGAATAAATTACAAGTTTGAAAATTTATAATCGTTTTTGTGTAAAGTTGCTTAGTTGGGTGGACGAGCTTACAGCCCATCTGGTGTTAAGTGGTTACTGGAGCCCATAGACATCCACAACGTAAATGCGCCACCCACCTTGAGATATAAGTTCTAAGGTCTCAAGTATAGTTACAACGGCTGCCCCACCCTTCAAACTGAAACACATTACTGCTTCACGGCAGAAATAGGCAAAGGGTGGTAGTACCCACCCGCGCGGACTCACAAGAGGTCCTACCACCAGTAAAGTTATGTTCTAAACCCCAAGACGGCTGGTAAATTCGTGGATGGGTGCCGACATTTACATTAATGATATCTATAGGTTCAATCAACCGGGTGGACTGTGAGATCGTCCAGCCAAATAGGCAATAAAAAAAATGAAGTGATTCAACTGTGGCGGGTTTTAAATTAAAAAAAATTGCGTAGTTGTATGTTCACGCACCACCATTTCATATATTATAGTATTCACTTGACAAAAGGCCCTTGGTTCGTCTGTCCATTTAACACGTTGACTGCCATGTAGGTCACCGGTGCCCTACGTAGCGCACTGAAGTAATTAAATCGATTTCTCTCTTCGATCTTCTTACTAAGGTGCCGGAATATCTAGTAGGCTCTAGAAAAGAGAAATTTGAAGATGCCGAGAGTGAATCTATTTCTAAGAAACCTAAAATACTAGAACATACATTAAAACAAACAAAAGAAGGTACAGTTAGGCCATGCAGACGTTTAGTAACAGAAATCGACATGATTACTTCAGTGCGCCACGTAGGGTACCGGTTACCAACATGGCAGTCAACGTGTTAAAAAAAAACTCGAGTAAATAAAATTTGACATTAGTTCTTTTATTTCTACTCTAACTAAACCCAACTTAATAGAATGCATAAAACCTCGGATCCGAAGGAAATGAAAGTTTTGCTTAGGATTTACAATTTAATTTGCCTCCTAGTCTTAATCTCTGAATGGCGCCAAGAAACTTAAAGATCCAGTTATACTTATCTTTTTAACTTGTACTTGATAAACGGTTCAGATGGAACTAATCCTTTACTATCCGGACATGAATATTCAAAGCGGCTTACATAAAATTAAAACATGTGACCCTCTTACAAGCATAGTACGTTTCTTAAAGTTGTTTGGAGATAGCTATAAAGTACATATATACGAGTATATTGATGCGATATCAATTTGATTTGTGAAAAATGTCGAATGAACAAAAAATCCAGTTAAATGCAAATCAAATTGTACTCTATATTTAATATTAAAAGAATACATAATTATAAGCTCATCGTCAAATGTTAATAATTATCCTTTTTATTACGAACCAATGTAATAAAGTACAGTTTTTTGTAATGTTATTATTTAATTTAATTCAGCCAATGTTAATAATTGATGTTAAGTTTTTAAAAGCGTATTTAAATACTGTACTGTAAATTATTGTTCTGATTTCCGAAACTCTTTTATCTGCACACTTAATGACACTCAATCTGTTCTGTAATTGAGTTATGAATTTCTGATATATATTTTATGAATGCTTTTTATGTTATGACATACTTTTATTGTGGATAGCTATTAATTATACGATACAGCAAAAATAAATTAAGAAATAAACATAGGGGTTTTAGTAAAATATAATAATTGTAAAAAATCAATATCTATCAAACAAAGGTAAGGATTACATGTTTGACAAAGACCATAAATACATAGATGACATAGTCAGGGTAAATTTATTCGAAGTAAAAACAATATAAATATTTAACTAAAAAGAAAGGAAACGTTTTTACTTTTGTTATCTCTGCATTATAAATACTACAATTTAATGGGTTTTTATCACTTATTTAATTTTAATGAGTTCCAGATATTTTAACGCTACTGCTTTTTTAATTTTTTTGTTTTTTTTTATTCCTACCTATGCTGATAGCCTTGAGAGGCTATTTCAGCTTCACCCTAACGTGTGTAGGTGAGCTCACGGGGCTCAAACTGGAATGTTGCTAACACTGACCCTAGCAAGAGTAGTGCTTCGCAGAATCTGCCACCGGATCGGAAACGCGACCCACTGAGAAGATCCGGCGAGAAACTCAGTGGGCTGTGTCTATGGGTTAATTCGCTCGTCGAGCCCTTCGTCGCAAGCGACTGGTTCGACGAGGACGGTGACCGGCGCTTGTGGTGCCTAAAAGCACCGTTACTGGATCGGGGGGATCCGTAATGACGTGCTTTGGGCGACGTCGACTGTTTACCATTCGGTCTACAGGATCGGGTATGTAGTTTCCAGCGGCCACGACAAGAGGGCTCTCATGTCGTGCCGCCTTCTCGAATTGTAAGAGTCTATCCGTGTTTACGGCAAGAAACAATAGTATTTAAGAGCGATGCTCGAAAATTTATTATTCGTTGTTAATTTACGTCTGATTTGTGCAACTAGTAAATGAGTAGACTAGTATCAAAGCCGGCAATGTGACTTTTGGACAATTATTGGTAAATCAGAAAAACGAAATTATTGACTTTGTATTCCATTGGCAGCCACAAAACTCTTCTGAACGACATCTTAGATAAATAACAGGTTAAGTATTAACCTTTATTTAATGCAGGTTTTGAACCGTATTCTTTGAAGGAGACGATTATATTCAAATCAATCTGTATTGACATATCAATAACATTTTTTTGTTCAAAAGCACAGATTGCCACCTTTGATAATAGACGACTCAAATGTCTGTTTCCTAAAGCTTTCATTATTCAACGCAATTAGGGGCGTTCACCTCTATATGGCTTGCGGGTAATCACACTCTGAGTTAGTTGTCGCCAATGCCTTGTATACAATTGACGATGCGATTGAATGTGTATTTGATTAATGTTAGTTTAGAATGAAATAAATTAAATTAAAAAACGCCTTAAATTCCGTCACCCATTTTCGAATGTCAATGAAATTGGGATTTCAGTTCTATCACTCTCCAGGCCGGAATGAGAGACAGCTTCGCTTCAGGACGGATAGTGAAAATTCCTGCTAATTGACAACACGCTTTACTACTAGAAAGTGATGATTGAGAATGAATTCATAGGCTTAGAAGTTTCAAGGTTACCCAAAGAGCGATAGAGAGGGGGCTGTGCTTGGAAATTGTCTACGAGACAGGACAGGTCAAATCAGGAGATTTGCAGTAGAATCATGATGACCGTCAGAGCTCAAAGGATTGCGAGATTGAGAGAGAGAGGTTATTCTTTATTGTATACAAAAAAAAGCAAAACATTAAATACAAAACAAGTACAATTGGCAGTCTTATCGCTAAGAGCGATATCTTCCAGACAACCATCAGGTGGACAATAATAATTTGAGAACGAATTTAAGTGAAGTATTGATTGAACTATTTAAAAGTTTATGAGAAGTATTTAAGACTGAAGTGCCATTAGGCAGGGCACATTATTCGTAGAACAGATTTAGACTGGGCAAAAAAGTTTTCGAGTGACAGCGGTGTAGCGGAGGACGTAGCGTCGGTAGACCTCCCACAAAGTAAGCCTAAGATCTCGAGACCCTACTGGATGCAGGCAGCGCAATACCCGTGGTTGTGACGATCCTTGTGGCAAGCCTAGGTCCAACACTGGGCTGAAAGAGATCTCGTTGTTCTGCCTACGCGTAAATAGTTAGCAATACATGATTATCTTAGTACACCAATATTTATTCAACCATTTTGTCCAATAAAAACACAAGTTTAAAATAAAAAGTTTGATTTTAAGTATATTATGTGTTTTATTAATACATCTGCCTACGTTTAACATAACATAAGCATTGGGGGAGGGTGATGGGAAAGATGTGCTCCGCACTAAAAGCTTTATTTTCCTCCCTTTGCCTTTTCATGAGTTTTGTCTCATGCGAGGCTCGGACGTGGGTTGTTGAGCGACAGGAGGTTTTAGTCGGTTCGACTTCGACATACCCCGCTCGCCATCCCTAGTGGAGGGTGGGAGTCTGGCGACTTCCTCCTGACCAAAAAAAAGGCTTGAACTAAGAACTTTAATAATAAAAAAATCCTCTTCTTTTTGAAAGTTATTATTAAATGTTATGTTTGTTTTCTTATTTGTTACAGACCTCGTAATCTTCAAGTGAACAGTAACGAAACGACACCTGTCCTAACAGTTCGAGTTACAAGACAAATCAACAAAGGATGCCTTGGGGTCGACAGAAGATACCACGAGTGCAACACACAGGTGAAACAATGCTTTGATAACTTTGGTTGCTACTATTAGAATTGGGTTCTTATTTAAAAAAACACGTGTGAAACTCCGAGACTGCCGCGGTAAAGCTATTGCATAGCATTTTTTATCAACATATGCAATTATAATTAGACAATAATCATTTAATATTAAAACAATAATGAAATAAGACCACGCTATATTTATAAAAATTAACAAAAGTAAAACATTAACTGTCCCCTTCACACTCATAAGCTAGATCGCGCGAGAGAGAGACGGGCAGACTTTTCATGATGCGCATGCAGTGCGACGTCACGCCACGTGCTTATTCATAAACACTACACAAGCACAACTTGTGAATGTATTGAACGCGAGCTACATGGTAGGCGGAGTGGGGGGTGTTAGGTTTTATTTTCGTTACAGAATTTCTTGATTCGGTCGCCACGCTCAAAGCGGATAAAAGTTATGCAATGGTTTAATAAAATTTAAATATTTTATACCTACATTTAGGTAAATTTTATGAAGCGTTATATACGATAATGTATTTAATAATAACCTTAGATAAATCAAGACATCAGATATACAAGATTAATAACAGGCGACCAAAGTTTTTGATACGGTTCGAATAACTTATTTTATTTGCTGAGGAAAAAAGATTTTACGATTCACCTGGTGTTAAGTAAATATCGAAGCCTATAGAAATAACAATGTGTCACAATGAATTTGATTATTGGCTATCCTACCATACAAAATGGAACACATAATTGCTTTGCAGTAGAAATAGGCAGTAAAGATCCCACAGTGACAGTTCATTGTATGCACGTTAATATCCGTTGTTGCTCTATGGATATCCGATCCAGAAAAAAACCTCTGTGCTCTATGTACGACGATTATTTACGAGCGGGATGTTCAAAGCATGATTCTGTTGTCAATAATTTAGCCGCGTCACTCAGACGTGGTACTGGTCTTACTGGTGGTAGGACCTCTTGTGAGTCCGCACAGGTAGGTACCACCGTCCCGCCTATTTCTGCCGTGAAGCAATAATGCGTTTCGGTTTGAAGGGTGGGGCAGCCGTTGTAACTATACTGAGATCTTAGAACTTATATCTCAAGGTGTGTGGCGCATTTACGCTGTAGATGTCTATGGGCTCCAGTAACCACTTAACACCAGGTGGGCTGTGAGCTCGTCCACACATCTAAGCAATAAAAAAAAAAGACGATTTCCATGATCTTCCTTTACTTCTGATCTACTTAATTTAATTCAAATTACTTAAAAAAAAAACGAAATTTGATAAATTTCTAAGAAACGAAAGATTTACGTTCGTATATGAGCTGGAAAATTCATGTGTAATAAATAAATACATAATTTCCTACAAGAAAATAATTTTGTTATAGCAACAATATCATGCTATAGCCATAGACAATGTGCATTTTTTTCAATTAATAACTCATTTTGTTTCGCTCTGTTAATATGTACCTGCTATCTTATATTTAGATGGCAAAGACGTATACATAATATATATTTTAGTAGGTTAGGGTTAGTAGGGAATGAATATTTTGTACTAAAATCTCTTGTACGCATTTATTTATGTAGATTTTGATTTAGTGATGATAATAAACAGTAGTAAAATTTGCATTTCCATTGTTTAACGACTGTATGGTGTTAAATACTCCTGACACAGAAAATGTGTTTGCCAGTTAATAATGTCACGCTTTTGTTATGTATTTTGTAGTAACACTTTGAAAGTGAAATAGCATTCGACAAATTCTAAAGTAGGTTTATTTACTTTGCCTTTGCAATTTTACAAATATACACGCATTTTGCTATATCTTTAATACATATATCATAAGGAAACATAATTTTAATGTAGTTCTTTCTAAGTTCTGACATCTAAACTATCATTGCCATGTACCATCCGGCTACGGAATGAGCTCCCCTTCACGGTGTTTCCTGAGCGCTATGACATGTCCTTCTTTAGAAGAGGCTTGTGGAGAGTATTAAGCGGTAGGCAGCGGCTTGGCTCTGCCCCTGGCATTGCTGAAGTCCATGGGTGACGGTAACCACTCACCATCAGGTGGGCTGTATGCTCGTCTGCCTACAAGGGCATTACAAAAAAACTGTGAGACCAATGCTAAATGAAACCGATTTACGGAAATATCGGTATTCGTTCACTCCTTTTTGTATGGACTGATAGACCAATAGCTTTAACTCTCATCATTCTACTGACGTTCTCTGCGAGACATTGGTCATCTCGTAAGGTTCGCCATAATAACCCTACCGGAACTGCCAATAACCAACCCGCGACCTTTAACTGGTCGTTACTCCACCATATACTGACCATACTGAGACCTTAGAACTATATCTCAAGGTGTGTGGCGCATTTACGTTGTAGATGTCTATGGGCTCCAGTAACCACTTAACACCAGGTGGGCTGTGAGCTCGTCCACAAACCTAAGCATTAAAAAAAATATGTACTACAGTTCTCAAATTTTTTTTATGTTTTGTTACAGCCTTGTGCAGGAGGCGTTCTGAATACGCGCGCAGAACAATGTAGTTCCTTTGATAGAAGACCATTTAGAGGAAGGTTTTACACATGGATTCCATATGTTGACGGTATGTTTGAAGAGTTACAGGGAAGCGAGATTGGTTATTTTTTGTTTATTTGATTTTACTAACATTGGTAAATTATTTCATGGTAAGCTAGGCACGACTATATACATCACGGTATATCAAATCAAATCAAATCAATTTTTTTTAATGAACATAAATGAAAGTACTGGTGGTAGGACCTCTTGTGAGTCCGCGCGGGTGGGTACCACCACCCTGCCTATTTCTGCCGTGAAGCAGTAATGCGTTTCGGTTTGAAGGGTGGGGCAGCCGTTGTAACTATACTTGAGACCTTAGAACTTATATCTCAAGATGAGTGGCGCATTTACGTTGTGGATGTCTATGGGCTCCAGTAACCACTTAACACCAGGTGGGCTGTGAGCTCGTCCACCCATCTAAGCAATAAAAAAAAAAAAACCTACATACTTGTTGAACGTCAAAAGAACTACCGCCAATTCACAGAAACTAGCCTCCGTCCTGAGAAGAATTGACAAGAAATTCAGCGGGCATGTTTTTTTTTTAGTATTAGATGATATATAGGTATATTGAGGCAGACAAGAATCAAGTATGTTTTTAAAATTAAATGTAAAATTACTTTGGACCAGAATTTAGTGAGTTGGTACGAATATAAGTTCAAAACACCCACATCTATAATAGTAAAGAGTGTAGTACTGTAAGAACATCGACTTTAGAACTCACATCCTGAGATGGGTGGCGCCACTTACATTGTAGATATCTATGATTGTAGATATCTCCGTTAACCATTTAACACAAGCTGGGCCTTGAGCTCGTTTAGCCATCTAAGCAATAAATAAAAAAAATGACCCACCTTAATTTTACCTCGTTTATTTCAGGTAATGCGCCATGTGCTTTGAATTGTAGGCCTATGGGTCAACAATTCTACGCGACTCTGTCCATAGTTGACGACGGCACCCCTTGTACTGAAGACGGACTCCCTGCTATTTGTGTGCAGGGTACTTGTAAGGTGAGTTTAATTATACTAGAGGTCCCGTAGTAGTCGAAATTCGACTATAATTAATTGGAATTGTAAGTTTGTACACTATTATGATTGTATTTTATACAAATTTCGCCAAGACTACATTATAAAAAATATTAACAAAGACAAACAATATTTAATCTATTCTCAATTTGACAACACACGTCAAGAACAAAAGTTTGACAATAAATAGTATGCATGCGTGTGTGCGTCAAATACATGGTATGTAGTGTGTGTAATGTTTTCTTAATTGATTTAATGTATCTTTTATGCATTATTTAAAAAAAATATTAGCATTGTGCACTTCTTCTCTATATTCTCTATAAGTGTGGAAAATTTCATACTCCTCCGTCCGCGCAATTTTCGTAAAAAGGGATACAAAGTTTTTGCTTCACGTATTAATATATAGATAAGCAAAACATTCTAAAATTTTATATACACCATTCAACTAATGCTCCATTGTATCTATCGCGAATACGTAATTTTTTTTAGACAAACCGACTAGCATTTGTTATTTAATTGATTACTGGTGACTGCCGCTGATTACTGGAGATCGCAACGTGGATGCCGTCACCCACTTTGAGATAAGAGGTCTTTATTATGTAGTACGATGTCTCACTCATCAAACCAGAACGCATTAGTATAAATAATCAGATTGGTTACACCCGTTCTAACTAATAATAATAATTCATAATATGTATTTTAATTATTTTGTATTGTAATTATTATTCTTCAACTAGCAAATATCGGTTGACGATCGTAAGTTGCTGGTACTCATATAATATAATAATCGGTATTCCTTATACATAGAATTTGTTGATACGCTGTGATACATTTAAGAAGTTACTAGCCGGATATGACCGAAAATTACTAAGGCACCCAAAATTTTGTAATCAACACCATACAATGACGTATGACTCATGCCGGGAAAAAGGCCTTATGACCTTAATGTATATGGTGTAACTAGATTTAAGCTAAATGATTAGCATGCTTTAAATTTGCGATGAATAGTAAGCGTAGATCCTGTTATGGAACAATGAACTATCACACCGTTTTCTTTTGGTAAGAATCAAGGTAATTTTAAATCTGGTTCGAAGTCTATACTAGGCAAGAATTCTAAAATCATGCTTAGACTAGAGTTTTGAAGGTGTATGCGAAGTGGTAACTTGGTAAGTGGAACTGGAACTTTAGTCAAATCATTGGTTACTCACGATTAAATTTATACTAATTCAAATCTCAAATTAGAAAATTTTCCATCAACAATTTCGTTAAGCATATCAGGAATCAATGATGATAATCCAAATTTTCTTTATAAAGTGATGGTTCCATCTTCTCAATACGAAACGAACCATTTGTATTGTACATATGTTCAATTGAATAGGTCTTGCAAGGTCGATGAGTCCTGATTGTTGACATCTGGGCATCAACGCACATCAATGTTTGCGGTGAACGAATTGGCCCAATTATTCTACAATCACAATAGCCTTATAGGCAACCGCTGCAAATTATCCGCACCTCAATTGAATCTCAACTACCTTCTCAGAAATTGTGCATTGTCCATTGCACATCAATTTGTTCTAGACTAGAGGAGGCGTTTAGCTTTGTGAACGATTATGTCAGTTTTGTTTATTTAGACACACCAACAGCAATACACACAAAACATTCAAGCTTAAAATTAACATATATATGATTGAGTACTGGTATGTAAGCCAGTTACAGGCATGTACAGCAATCTCTTATAACAAACTATGACATGTTACAGAAATTTTACAAACAGCGGAAAAATAGGCTAAATTTAGTTTAATTTGGTTTATTATTAGTTTAGTTTTGTTTATTAGTTTTAGTTAGTTTAGTTTTGTTTATTAGTTTTAGTTAGTTTAGTTTTGTTTATTATTATCTTAGAACTTCTGAAGTTCTTTTTTAAATATTATTATATTGCTTATATGGTTGGATGAGCTCACAGCCCACCTGGTGTTAAGTGGTTACTGGAGCCCATAGACATCTACAACGTAAATGCGCCACTCACCTTGAGATATAAGTTCTAAGGTCACAGTATAGTTACAAGTACAATTTTCGATTTTAATCCTTATGCAAATAATTTCTATAGTTTGGTTTTCCACTGAGGCTATTAAAGGTCAATCCGACCATCAAAGGGTACGAACATCATTATACTTATTTACTCAACATAGAACGGCAACTACAGAATTATCAGTTGGGCGGTTGGGCCGAAAACCCATTGGGATTCAATGCATTTCCCGCATGTCTTAACATAGTTTCTGATAAAAAAAACTTTACCACTGTTGTGATTTAAATATCGATGACGTTTTTAGAAGTTTCTATATAACGTATGAACTGTAATAGCCAGTCAAGTCATTCGTACTTAAAATTGAGAGGTTACTGAAAAAATCTTTCGACAAACAAATTGTCGACATCAACTGGAATTACGACTATCTTGAGTTAACTCCTATGGGCACAGATTATTCACATTGTAGCAACTATGAGAAATATAGCGGGATCTACCGAGTGAATTCTTTTGTTTTGCCATACTCTACCTGCAGTATTCGAAAAGGGAATGAAGTGATAACTGGTAAAAGTTGCACCACATTATATTATAAAATCAGAACTTATAAAATAACAAATACGCTAAATGTTAATTTTACATGCCATCAAAATATTATCTTCTTCTTCTCTATATATAAAAATGAATTGCTGTTCGTTAGTCTCGCTAAAACTCGAGAACGGCTAAACAGATTTGGCTAATTTTGGTCTTGAATGATTTGTGGAAGTCCAGAGAAGGTTTAAAAGGTAGATAAATATGAAAAAGCTCGGAATTAAATAAAAATAACAATTTTGTTTTCCCTTTGATGTGTCCCCCGTCGGACGGATTCCTTTTGTTTGTTTTAAGTTTATTTTATACAAAAGTTTAGGTCTCTTATTTATCGATTGAGGCACTACGAAGTCTGCCGGGTCAGCTAGTGTTTACTATAAATTATGAATGAATTCAGTGAAATGCGATACTTTCAAAATTATAAGCCTAATATTTATAAGCTTAATAATATGTAATAAAGAGTACAACTACATTTCTACTCACACAACAAACTGGTAAAATTGCTGAATTTTAAGACCAAATTTCATGTATTGGCCACGTAGATTCGTGCAAATCACAAAAATCACATCACAAACATTGGCTATGATTTGTGCATCGGCATAAATGTCATGAAGGACAACTCTGTCATAAAAACAACAACCATAACGATATTAAATTGAATCTAAGCTGTGCTCTACTAGTTTACTCTTGACACGATTTGCATCTGCAAATTAAGCTGAATTGCCTATTGGACCTGTGACGTTGCTCTATAAAGCACTCAATCTTTGCTGTAGCAAGGACGCGTTCGTTGTAATCGTAAATTGTCTACTTTCATTAAACATCACGTGTTCAATGGTACTCCCTGATTGTTTGTACTTTGCCCTGTGAATTCAAACGTTCTGTTTCGTCTTTCGTAACGTTGTAAAGTTTAAATTTCAATTGTAATAGTTAAATGAATGGTTTATTCGATGAGGCAACTGTCGTAACATTGATCGAGCCAATATTATTGGATTATTTTAAATGAGTTTACAACAAGATTGATTAGTTGACTTAGGGCAAACATTACCTGCTGCGGAAGAATTTGGATTCCCGCGGCCCTGCGCGCACGTGTGGGTGGACACCGGGGTGGTTTTAGCCGGTAGGAGTCCGGCACGCCCCTCCGCCTTTCCCCAGGCGGAGGTAGTCCACGAGGATATCCCCCGAAAAAAAAAAAAAAAAGGCAAACATTACCTATGTTACAGTGTAACAGTTTTAGCCACTAATTATTATTTATTTTTAACACGTTGCCTATTTTTATAGTCGTGCTTGGGCAGATGAGCTGATTACCTATCTATGTATGAATTAGCGGAACGACCGTCTCACCATTGAACAAGAACGCATTGGATTGTGGGTTTCTATAGTTCGTGCTCAGAACATGACATCTCCTAGTATTATTACAACTAGTAATGCAATTTTTTCAGTAGCCCAGAGGAACTAAATCGCCTCTGAAATTCTGCTGTGGAAGGACGCACGAGCCCACCACTAGCAATTTTTCCAAGAAAACCTTTACGTATGTATTCCGTAAAGGTCACGATCCTCAGCACTGAGGAACACGACGCACGGAGGAATGCAAATTCAAGTGAAATTTTATTAAATATTTTGTGTCCTGAACCTAGAACCTTCTTGTCTTTATAGTAATAGTAATTTAGATTTGATAACATTTAATTATTCATCTCGTCATTTTATTAACGTCTTGCATTTTTGCTGGAAGACATTTCATATGGAATATAAAAAATCGTAGTGATTAATTTTTTTTTTACTATTATATATTTGACTAAATAAATAATGTTTAATGTTACTTAGTAGGTGTTTACATCAAAAGTATCTCATTTATCTGCAGGACTTAGGGTACGACGTAGATACCTTCTTCATCGGCAGTATCCGAAGGCTATGGAGGTGGCGCTCGATAATTGCCAGGCCCTATTGTTTCATGGTATTCCCCGGAGAGTGCCGCTTCAGGGGGCCCACCTCGTGATTGGAGGCGTCCGCGTCGAGAACGATGCGACTGGGTTGCGGTATCTCACTCATATTGGACGGTCGTTGGAGCTTCCGTGCTCACTTCGAAAATTGGATCCTCGATTGATGGCTTCAACCGGGTCGCTGAGTCAGCTGTTGTTGAACGTCAGGGGACCTGAAATGGTGGTGCGCCGCCTCTACACGGGGGTGGTGCGGTCAATGGCACTGTACGGGGCTCCCGTATGGTGCCACGCCCTGACCCGCGACAACGTCACGGCGCCGCTTTGCGACATCCGCAGCGCGCGATTGCGGTCAGGGCGGCTCGCGGGTACCGCACCGTCTCGTTCGAGGCGACGTGCGTACTCGCCGGGTCGCCTCCCTGGGTCCTGGACCTCCCTGGGTTCTG